TCATACAATTGGATAAACTTGATCCTCTTATGTCTATCCTTTTAGTAATCTATTTCGCTTTTTGCCCTAAATATTTATTTTCATTTATTCTGCTAGTATTTAAACAAGTACAATGATGTTTATATCTGAATTGTGCGCACTTAAAATTTAAGAAGTTGTTTAATATACACTGCTAGAACAAGTATTAAGTGATAGGATTGCTATTTTCTTCGTTCCTTTTGTGAGGATATCTCCAAGATGATAGATTGATTTGTCATAAAATCAAATACAAATAATTCTGTCGGATTGATAACACTACACTTTTTCGCTACATTTTGGTTTCATTTTTTGTCAATTTAGATTTTTTTCTTTAATGAAGCTTTTGTAAAGATCCTACTTGTTAACACATTTGAGGAGCATTCCCCTTTGCCTTTAGTTTATTTACACCCTTACCTAGAACCCCAATATACAGTGATGCATTTTACTTATAGATGTTATCCTCGTTTCATTGCCGCTATCGTCTTATTATAATGGAAGCGAGTTTAGTGGAAGACAGGCTTCCCTTTTCATGGTACCTCTACCCCAGTTGCTGGGTTTGCCATGTCTTGGGGATCATATATCCTTTATGACTAGCTCCTCTAGCTTAAGCGTTATTGGTAACGTATCTTCTACTGAAACTGCATTCTCGGTTTGGATCTCTTTCAACATGATACGTAGTATTATGATTGAGTAGGTTTTAAAGCTGCCAGTAGATCCTGACTAAAAGCTGTATTCACTTACGATAGATTTTCCCAAGTAGAGCTGAGTAGGCCTCATTGTTATTAAATTTTAATTGGCCTTGCATCCCAAGAGGTATTCTTATCCAGGGTGGACTATAGCTTCAACTTTGCCTGGGGTCTCATCAGCACCCACAACATAAGCATGTAAAAATTAAACACCGTGCTATCAGGGTTTGATTCCTATTTGGGGTGCGGATGAGACCCAGGCAAGGTTGAAACTATAGTCCACCTTGGAGGAGCACATCTTAAGGTAACTAAATGAACTTTAATGGTAGCATGAGACATGCCTATCTAATTGTGGGGAAATTCACTACCAGTCTTTCATTACCTAATGTAAATAATGTTATTATTAATGAGGATTAAGTATAAATAATACCGAACTTTCTGCCAATTTTAGAAAATAACTCGGTAATACAGGCTCGAGTTACATTATGCTATAAATCTAACTATTATCTAATTCAGGTCTGAAAGATGAACTATAAGTGCTGAACGATCATTTTAATGATATATAATTCTATTTTTAGTAACTTTTTTATTATTTTTGTTTTTTAATTGGCATTTTTGTCTATGATGATTAAATTTAAAATTGTTAACGCCTTTATATTATCATTCATTTTGGTTTCTCTAAACCAGCTTCAATATTGCATAGATTATACCAACTGTGTAAATACTCAAGTCATGGTTATTCGAAGCTAAATTAGTGCTTTTTCCATGAATTAATCAGACAACTCTAGAGGATCTATCTTTACAAATTCGCTAGTCACACACTTCTTATCCTATTATTTGATTTTTATTTACCTTTCAAACGTCTTTTTTCTCATAAATATATAGGATAATCAACACTGTTTGGTTTCTACAATGATACCAGATTCTAAGCTTGAGGCAGAGGAGAAAGAGGCTGAAGAACGGCGGCATAATTTGCTTATTAGCAAGTTAAGTGAAGTAGACAAGGCAGAAGTGATTTCAAAAGGTTTTAAAAATGCTTATCCTTTTGATTCTAATATTATATCATCTATACATTATTTTACTTTTTAGCACGTAAACTTTTGGACAAACAAAATACTGAAGAGGATATTTCCTGCCTTCCTTGTCTCCAGCTTTCTGATATTCCTACTGAAGGGATTCCTGAACCTTTCGTGGAGACATTAAGTACGTTTAGGATACAAATACATTCATCCTTAGACTATTAAATAACAATTATTATGACCCCTCTGGAATAAATTCAATGCCTACAGTGATTAAGTAAGACTAACGCTGGTTACGTCGAATATAGTGTATAACATTGTGAGAAGGATAGTGCTATTGAAATAAGTTTAGAATATTGGAAATCTATAATAATGTCCAAATGGCTTGGATTTTAATCTAAGCTCCGTTATATATGCTAGAGATATTCTTATTTTTATTTAAATCCATATCATCTACCTGTTCCAATTGCTTATGAGCTTTTGGATAATTAATTTATATCCTATAACTTTTTCACTATCTATCTAAAATTTCAATGAATCTTGATTCAATGCGTCATCAGTTAATCAGGACAGGCGTTTATCTATGTCACATTTTATAGAAC